TGTGGAGTCGTTAGGGCCGTGAGACGCGTTGAAGAGCGCTGCCGCAATAGCCTGTAACTTTGTCTGAGTATCGGAATCGAAGGCATTGAGCAATAGAAGCGAGACGACTATGTCAGGGTGTCGCTCACCTAATACCTGAGCAACCTTATGGCCTTCGGACGGTGTATCGAAGACATACGCAAAGGGCTTGTTCGTCAATGTCATGTTCTACGCCCCTCGGTCGAAGATCCACTATAGACACAATCCAGCCCCGTTTGCATGCTGCTCCCCTTTAAGCCGAAAAGAGCGAAATATCAAGCGCTCGGATACGCCTGCTTTTACCGCGACCTGATCAAGAACACGGTTGAAGTAGCTGTGCACACCAGGGAAGTTTTCTGGACTGTTTCCTTCTTTTCAGCGGCGGAAGACGTATCCTGCGAAGACACCACGACCTCTGGGTGATCAATCAAATCGAAGAGCGGAGTTGCCGGAACCAACGTGGACTGCGAAACAGCAGACTGCGCACGAAGTTGGCTCAGCACTGAAAGACTAGGCGATGAGTGGGTTAAAAGGGCAAGTGCAATGGCAAGCAGAGGACACGTGGCGAAGTCTTCGTCAGGGAAGAGCAACAGACCTTGCTCTTTAGCAGTCTTGATGCGGATAAAACGGACAAGAGATATGGCGCCCGAGTCAATAGACAGGTTTGCCTTCCGCAGCATTGCGAGGTCCGATGCTCGACTGAAGAGGAGTTAAAGCAGACACAACAGCGCCACATATTCTTAGTCAGCACCTGTTACCGCAGTGGAATACAAGTACTCCATCATTTTCTAAAGAGTCGACTTTGTGCACGCTGGGGCCTTGTTCACAAACGATCCTGACTTACGCTTTATGCAATGTCATTCTAGCGTCTGTCTCTTATTGAGCAGGATCTTGTCGACAGCTGCTCGATGCTGTGGAACCTGTTCCGACAACCTGTTCTTGGCATGTCGAAAGTTTTGTATGACTGAGTGTCGAGCTAAAAGATGTCCCTTTCGGACCTCCTTGAAGGCGAGATACATGCCGAACTTGTCCACCACAGCATCTAAGACGAGAGTTGCTCTCTCGCGCTGCATGCACTGCTGCAGGTAGTCCCAACTAACATCTTACTCCGTGAGGAGCTACAAAAACGAGCGTGCTGCGTTCTCGAGAGCACGCCTCGTGTTGGTAGGTGCGAGGTTGCAAGATGTCGGAGCTTGGGAGCGACTCATCTTTCGTCGTATATACCTGAAATGTTGGGGCTTGGGTGTTAGTTATTTAATATATAACTATCTTAGTGTTTGTACTGCGACATCAATATCAACACTGCCCCATCCGACCCAATACGTCGGAGGAATGGCTGTGAGAGCTTCACTTGTCAATCTACTCTATGATTGGTCCTAAACATTGTATCAGTTCGATTTGACTTGCTAATACAAATTTTAATATCACCATCACGCCCATCCTATTGGGTCAGTAAATACAATGCGTAATTCAAGTGCGGTCGGAGATTTAATGTTATTCATCCATATGTGATGACTTCACCGCACATCAATCTGCCAGCAGAACCTGTTACCTGCTGACTGACTGCGTATTCGAGTGACTACGTTCGCATGATGGCTTGGTAGAACTCAGCTGCATCAGACATCTGACTAGCCCTGGATTGAACACAACACACAAATGTACCCCGCCCGCGAGAACAACCCGTGACACTCAAATCTAATGATGTCGAATGTCAACATTGTCACGGGCGGTGCGCATGGAGCACAAATTGACCAGATCAAGTAAGACGTGCTTGACATATGATGGATCTTCGATGATGGGATTGTTGTCAATACAACATCTCACTTCTGCAGAACGCTGCGGCATCTCATTTGCTGTTCATGATAGCCAACAAGAGCAACCCGTCTCGAAAGCGACTTCATTGGCAAGACGTTCATGACGCATGAAAATATCGAGTGCGCGTAGATTTGGTCTGCATGTCTAGTCTCTCTCAAGCATGGATGAAGCAGCCACAGTGTGTCTACACACTGACAAACAGCGCTCCAGCATCAGCGGACATCATATTTATATCAAGCGTTGTCGGCAGCCTGAACTCACCCCATGACCTGCACACCGTTCTAGACGGATCGCACAACTGTCGGTGTATCTAGCGACGTGCTCATTCTTGGATTCGAAATATGAACTGTTGTCAGCTTATTGTAGTACACCTTCGTCCTTTCGAAACAATCGTCCCAGCAAGCAACACTTCTTGGACGATCGTGCCACCTACGGTCCATCGTTTGCTGAGATTCTGGTGTACGAAACAAGCAAGCGGCAGGCGGCTGGCTAGATAGTTTCGAAGGTGCAGATACTCGCTTGCAGAAATTTGTATACGTGTGAACATCAGCCAATGCGGCCGTCAGGTGTATGTCAGGTATCAAGCTTGTTTCGTTGCGCCACATTGGCGAATTTTAGACAAGCGCGTAGACGCTTGCAAATGGCGGGCAATCTTTCGACTTCCGCAATGTCCAGATTCGACAAAAGAAGTGTCACGGCAAAGTATGATCCGCAGACTTTGTCGGTACGACGAGTATGGAATGACGGGGGCTCTCGAATGTCACGAACGGAGGATTTTGCTTGCGTAGCGACTGCTGCTCATGTAGCCAGACGTATAACGCACTGCACATAAAAAAGTATGTTAACGCGTTACAAAACGCCCGACCAACATTCCTTTACAAGCACATGCGCATCAATCAGGGTTTGAGTTTCTTACGTCGAGAATAAGGCTGGACATGGCCATACCGCGTAAATCCCCTGGTGACGCAGCACACGACTTCAATGAATCATGTCTTGCTTGCGCAAGTCATCGATAGATATCCGTTCTAACAAGCCGCAGATGGAAGGTCCTTGTGTCATCTCCTATTGGTGGGTACTCGATCTGCGGATGTTGCGTAAACACCGAGCAAAGGTATAGTCTACGTGACTGCAGCTTTTGAGGCTGCAGCCACGTAGAAAAATCACCAGCCACATAGAAATCAGCAGCGGCCGTCAGTTTACTGCAGTGTCAGGATTTCCCATCGAATCTGTCGCCTCTACACAAGTCAGGAGTAGCCGGAACCAAGACACATGTAGCCACAATCTTGTTTTGAAAAAGGAAACGGTATCTCTTTCCAGCACCCACATCTATCCTGTCATATCCTTCTCTCGGTGCAGAAGTATGTGCTGCCAATTGGGCAATACAAATGATGTACGAGTCGACATCATTCGTACATGCGTGCATTTCGCTGACACCAGTACCACGTACACACAAAACTTCGTTGTGCTGACTACAGGTCTCCGCGACGTCACACGGACAAGCCGTTGCTGGAACACGCGTGCAGCAAAGTCGATTTTGTTTCTTCTACATTGGTAGGGCAAGACAACATCAAGCATGCGTACAAGCGTTTGTACAACGAAGGATCAGATGTCGATGAGTCCGAGCTTGGCGTTACTTCACGTTTACCCGTGCTCTGCCTCCGCATCAGATTCGATCCACGTAACCAGACGGCATTCCGTGGCTTCTGATGACAGAAATGCTGGTGACGACGGTGCATTGACAGGTCGTGCTTGCACGCTCCATTAGCAGAGGGATCTGCCATCGAATGCACGACACTCGTGCGACGATTCGAAGTTGCGCATCGAAAAAAAGAGAGCGCTGGAAACATCCGCCAAGTGTCGCACGAGCTTGCGAGCTCATTGGGTCTCGGACAGACAACAGAGAAAGGACAACGAAACATGACGACCACATGAACATGACGACTCGTTAGGTGCACATTCCGGCGAATCAGTCGTGAACGAGGTAAAGTATCGTGCCTTGGCACTGGCTTTTTTCATGAAAAAAACGCCTTCGTTTCTACTTTATTTCTAAGAACGTCGTCAATCGCAGTTGTCCAATCAAAAGAAAGACGACACAGCGAGGCCACAGCGGCAGGAGAATCAGGCACATATTGAGTCGTCGTCGCCTGTCCCGATAAGTGTCCTGCAGTGCGGTTGTCACAACAGCGTGAGGCCAGCTGAGTTAGGAGAAAGTTTTGCTCATGTGGGCAGGTCAGCGTTTGCGACACATCGTTCGCTGATAGGATCCGTCGGCGCAAAGATCTTGCAGCACTTCCATGGTCTCGCCATATCGTTTCGTCTTCCCTGCAAGTCGTGGGCTCTACAAAACCGGATGCGGTCATGGTATCAGATTTAGCGTCGCAGGAGGGAAGAGGGACGGCCGCCGCTGTCGCATAATGGTAAGCAGACAGTAGAGACATCCGGCCAAGAGGCGGACGGAGCTGGTCCGTCGACTGGCTCACTGGCAGACTGGGCGATCGACACGCACAGTACACCCCATGTCACGCATCGCTGCCGCTCGATGGAGACGAATCCAGAACATCACCGCCAGCATCGTGCGTGCAACTGTTCGAGAGCTGCTGCTATCGATCGATCGAACCGACTCCTCCTCTGGCCACGGACGGGCACGTCCAGCCGCAGCAACCCATTGTGGATCGCCTGACGCCTTTTTTTACGCATGCCACGCGCCGTGAAGCGGCTGAGCCCGGCAGCTTGTTTGGTACCTGTCTCGTCTGCAACCGGTCTTGCCAGCTCCGTTGTCCGTTGAGGGTCGTTTCGCGCGCTCCCTCTCTCTCTCTCTCTTTTTCTTTCCACTCTTTCTCTCTCTTTTTCCCTCTCTTTCCACCGCTGCCGCCCTCGGTCTACAATCGGTGCCAAAACGTGCACCGCCATCTCGTCCCATCGAGTCAGTCCGTCCGTCGGTCCCACACAGTCAATCGGACTCGCATCCCACGACTGCTCTCCTGTGCGCGCCCACTATAAGACACTCACTCACTCACTCACTCACTCAGCCGCATACACACACACACACACATACACACACACAGAGACATAGAGCAAAGCCACTGCTGCCGACAGACGTACCGACTGACCGATAGACCGACTGACCGACTGACGTACCGATCGACAGCAGCCGCTCGGACCGCACAATGCGCAGCGACTTTATCGGCGGCGCCATTGCCATTCTCTCGGCGTTCCTCTCGATCTTTGGCGTGAACCTGCAAAAGTACTCGCACGACAAAGAAGAGCTCCGCGCCGTCCCGCGGCCCTACACGATGCGGCCCATCTGGTGGGTCGGTATGGTCTGCGTCGTCGCCGCGTCGCTCGGGGACTTTCTCGCGCTCGGGTTTGCGCCCCAGACGCTCGTGGCGTCGCTCGGGGGCGGCTCGACGATCTTGGGCAACTGCCTCATGTCGCACTTTTGGCTCCAGCAGAGCCTCTACGTGACGGACATTGTCGGCGTTGCGGTCGTGTCGCTCGGCGTTGTAGTGCTCGCGGCCGCCAGCGAAGGCGACGCGGGCCACTACGAGATGGAGCAGATCTACGAGCTCATGGCGGCCGCGCCGTTCATTCTCTACGCGCTCATTACGACGGCGTTCACCATGACGCTGTACATGCGCGCGCGGCGGTCGAAAGCGCCGGCGCTGCGCGTCGCGAGCACGGACAAGGACGACGCGCGGGTGGACGACGTGCAGGAGAAGAAGCGGCAGCTCGCAGCGGCCTCGAGCCGTCGCGACGCGGCCAATCAGACGACGACAAGAGCGACAACGACTGAGCCGAAACCAGCGCTGGTCGACGACGCGGTGGCGCTCGAGGAGACGAAACCGATGCGCCGCGGGGCGTTCATGTCGCCGTTCCCGTCGCCAATCTTTGGGGACCACTTGTCGCTCTCGCCCATGGGCACGCACCGCCTCGGGAGCGACGAGGACGACCACTTGGAAGAGATAGAGCTGTCGAGCTGCAAAGTGGGCAAGTACGACGAGAGTGAGATTGAGAAGCAGACGCTGATCATTGACCCCAAGTTGCCGCTCTACTGGGCCGCGATCTCGGGCACGATTGGCGGCCAGTCGGTGTTGCTGGCCAAGTGCGTCGTGGAGCTCATTTCGTCGACCGTGTCGGGCGACAACCAGTTTCTGTACTTTGGCACGTACGTGCTGTGTCTCGGCATGGCGGCCACGCTGTTGACGCAGACGCACACGCTCAATCTCGCGACCATGACGGGGGACACCATGTCGTCGTACCCGGTGTTCCAGGGCTTTTGGATCACCATGAGCAACATCAGCGGCGTCGTCTTTTTCCAGCAGGCGCACAGCTTTACCAAGACGCAGTGGATCATGTTCCCGACTGCTATTGCACTGGTGGCCCTGGGCATCTACCTGGTCTCGAAGCACGAGAAGTTTGGCCATCTCGTCAAGTACTCGATCGCGATGCCCATCAGCCTTAGCAGTCCCCGTCAGCACGACATTGTGGCGCAGTCGTTTGTCTTTCGCGTGTCGACGCCGCAGAAACTGCACGAAGACGACTATGCGAGCAGCACGGAAAGCAGCAGCCCGGACGAGCACTCGAGACGGGCGTTGGAAGTAGTATAAGCGCAGCAAAGTGGCGCGTCTATTGTTTGGCACGTAATGAGACCCGGAAGAAGAAGGGGGGTGAAGTTTCTACTTGTTGGACGGAGAGTGCGTTGCATTTGCTCGAGTGGCTCGTCGTCGGAGCGTGCGCGAGTGAAGGCGTCACGGATTGTTGATCAATGCGTTCTGCGCGGTAAAAAAGCTGCATAGGCTGCAGTGCTTGTGCTGATTCGTTCGCGTCTCTGCTGTCGCACACAGGTCGGAGCTTTGTGCTTGAGCGCTCCAGCGTAGCAGTTCAGTCCCACTCGGCAGGCAGTAGGACACACGATGGGCAATGCATCGCACGGGGGTCTCGTTGCCGCGCACTTTGTAGCTGGGTGGGTCGTTGCTGTGGACAGGATGCACTTTGCCTGCTCGGCCGACTGCATCCTGTTGGACACCTGCGTCGTGCCGTCGTCCCGTTAGATAGTAAGAGTGGGGCGAAACGGTGCGCCTTCAGCACACGAGTACGACATGCACCAGTCTCGTGATGCATGGAGAGAACTTCTGTGCGTTCATTAGCATGCCAAGTGCTCGAGCGTGGCTTTGCTCAGGGCAGTGCCAGTCTGCGTGGTCGTAAGAACTGGCGTGGCCAGGAGACCACTGACGCCTGTATGGGCCCACAGCGTATTCATTTGGTCCCTAAGGCAGCAACGTCAAAGCCTACATCACCTGATCGCTGGACGCGTGGGCATGCAACGTCGTCAGCTGCTTTCGTTCTCTATCGAACGATGGAGGACGGACTCGCGTTGTCTGTTGGTACAGGTGCTACTGGGTGACTCCGTTGACGTTCCGGACCGGTCGCTGCAACTGTACCCTTCCATGCTACGTCCTCTCTACGTCCGGCTTTGTTGATTTTCTGCACGGCTCTTTGCAGATAGATGCTCCGCTTCTTGTCCCGTGCACCTCTTCGTGGCTGACCACACGGATTACGCCCGACGGTCGACACAGTCTGTTGTCCAGGTCTTCGTCCCATCTGTCGTGTAGATAAAAACACACATAGTCGCTTGTCAGATGATGTCGTGGGGGTGTGCAGCCTCATCGGCTCTGCCTGTTCGTCTGTGTCCTTGTCGGAGCTACGCCACGCAGTCACTTCGGTGATCGCACTCCACGTCAGGGCCGCGCAAGCGCTGGAAGGGGCCACCATCGCAGATAGTTGGGCTCCTCGGAGAGTATATGGCGGGTTGGCGTTCTCCACGCCACGCAGTCACTTCGGTGATCGCACTCCACGTCGAAGGCCGCGCAAGCGGCTGCCGAGGAGCCACCATCGCAGATGGTTGAGCTCCTCGGAGAGATAGACGGCGGGTTGGCGTTTCTCCACGCCACGCAGTCACTTCGGTGTTCACTCCACGTCAGGGGGGGGGCGCGCAAGCGGTCCTAAAGGGGTTTGTTGGCCTTATATGGCAGCGTACCCGCGTTGGCCATGCTCCGCTCCGGCGGTACGCATGTCCTCAGTCTACTTGGTCGCGCCAGCGGTCACGGTTGACTCGTAGTTGGCTTTGGTAGGAGGTCTCTGACCTCGTTGCCGTCGCCCCTGGCTCTGCAGAGCCCTTTAGTTGTCGACCCGATACCCGGGCCGTACTTCTTGTCGCACTTATCAGTCGTTAGTTATCGTTATAATGGACGTACTCGACACCACCTTGTCGGAACTCTACGCAAAAGGTCCGATCGCTTGTGCAGCTTCTTGGCTTCGTCGATCATTATCGTGTCTGCTTTTTCATCTACGCCTTTGCCGGGCGCCAGCGGAAGTGGCAAGTGCCTTGACGCCTGACTGCCTTACTTGGGCCGACCGACAAGTGGGTACACACTACAACTGCGCTGACCTTCGCCCGCGGCGATTCAAACGTTGTTTGCTTTGTCGCTCGTGAATATAAACAGGAGCTATGGCACTTGCTTCCCTGCTCAACCCGAGCGCTGCCTCTTTGTCGAAGACGACTGACGCCGACTTGGACGAGCTATTGCTCTTCTTGATCGAGCTCGACGTCTTGCTATGGCTGCTACTGCTCGTGGTCTTGCTCTTGGACTTGGAGCGCAAAGAGCTGCTCTTCTTCGCCTTCTTGGCAAGATCGTCCTCGTCACTTGCCAATGCGGCTCTTGAGCTCGTCGTTCTCGCGCTCAACCATGCGCGTCAACACCTCGCCGCGCTTCTGAAGCTCAACAATAGTGCGCGGCAAGAAGAATCAGTCGAAACGGAATTGCCACGCCTTACGAAAGTCATCCCGGATCTCGCCCCAATGCTCCAACGGACCGTACTTGTTCATCGCGGCCACGAGAAACACGTCTTCTTCCAGGATGTAGCCTTTGCTCTTATAGCCGGCCGGGTAGTGCAATCGCATGTCCACGCAATGGGTGGCTGTATCGGCTGCACTTGCGCGCTAACGCCTGCTTCACCACTTCGTTGCGCTCCAGACCGCTCTCGCCTCGCTCAATCTTCTCCACATACTTTGCGTGGTCCCCCAGCTGGCTCGTGAAGCGAGACCAAAACGTATCGTAAGTACCGTTCCACCTGTGCAGGATCCTTGCCAAGAACTGCCGAGACCTCCTCACATACGCGCGTCTTGTCGACGCGACCATCTTTAGGCTCACAGATAGCGGTAAAACTGCTTCAAGATCCCGTCGTGTCCAGTCGCCAAAGCCTTCCTTTTCAACGAGAGGCCCTAGCTCCTTTGCATCCGCGGCGTCCATTTCCGTCTCGTTCAAAAGCTCCTTCTCAAGAGCAGTGAACGTGCGTCGTCCGCCTCCCTCTTCCTCTGCTGGAGTTTTCCACGGACTCTTCACCCTCAGCAGTCTTCGGCTTTCGCGCTTTGGCGCGACTCTCGTCGGCAGAGCTTCCTTTATGAGTCGAGTAAGTTCCTTCCGGCAGTTCTCAACGAGTCTTCTTTACGAGCAATGCCACCATGCGTTCCTGCTGGAAAAACTGATAATCATACTGTGGGGACCTTTACAGCGTCTGAGCCAGACTTCTTGGGCTTCTTGGGCTTCGATAGACCCGCTTGCTGACGATAATACTCGTCTTCGTTGTGGTTGGACTTGCGCTCGCGCTGAGGAAGAGCAATGAACATCGATGGTAAAACGTCTCCACTGTTCGAGTCCTTCAGAAACACCTCTCCCCGGACTCATACAGGCTTCAGGCGTTGGCATTGCCGTTGTCCCCGACAATGAGAAATTCGCCAGATTGTGCTGCATGTCAGGCGCAATTTTGCCTTTCGTGGACTCGGTGCGTTCTTCACCCCGAGCCAGAATAGCGTCGATGTCGTCGTCGGTGATCATCGATCCTCGAGCGTTGAAGATTTCGTCGGCACCAAAGCGCACCATCGTCATCAGCTCGTCTTTCGACATGCCGATTTTGTTGGGCGAGTCGACCCTGCTGGATGATAGCAGCGTCAAGGTACAGCTAAGCTCTGCACGCTCCACGATTTTCTCTTCGACTGTCCCATCCGTGATGAAACGAAACAGCGCACAATCTTCGTCTGTCCGATACGATGCGCGCGATCCATGGCTTGCAAGTCCACCTGAGGGTTCCAGTCCGGGTCGAATAGAATCACGATATCAGCCGTGGCCAAGTTGATACCGAGACCGCCAGCATGTGCTCAGCAAGAAGCAGAACTTAGTACTCCCCGGGGCGTTAAACTCCTCCATCATGCTGTCACGGTCTTCGCCTTTCGTCGATCCATCAGTCGACAATAGTCGTGACTAAAGTAACGCATGTAATCTTCCAGGATATCCATCATAGACGTCATCTGGCAGAAAATCAGCACACGAGAACCTTGCGCCCGAAGCTTCGGCAAAGTTTGTGCAACAAAGTCATTTTACCACAGTTCTCCCACAGATGAGGTCCCTCCTGGTACGGCGGACCAGGCTCCGCGCCCTCAAACAAGTACGGGTGGTTGCATACCTTACGCAACTGCATCAGAATGTTCAGCAAACGCACGCGGTCACTGCCACCAATAGCATTCAAATGCGTCGCATCACGATGAAGCACGTGCATGTACCACTCACGTTGCATTTCAGACAAACCAACATAAAGCTTGGTCTCAATTTTCGGCAGCAATGAATGCTCCACGTCTGCCTTCAATCGACGCAGTAAGAAAGGACGCAATATCGTGTGCAGCTTCTTGATCCCGTTTTCCTGTCCTTCTTCGCCGTCCCCCCATTAAACCACGAGTCAAAGTCTTCGGCGTCTGAGAAAATGTCCGGCAGCAAGAAGTTCAGCAGCGCCCACAGTTCATGCAAATTATTCTGCAGTAGCGTGCCCGTAATCAGTAGTCGGTGCTCAACCTTGAACTCACGCACAACACGCGAAAGCTTCGAGTTCTCATTCTTTACTCGATGCGCTTCGTCAATCAGCAAGTACTTCCACTTGATCTTCTGCAATATAGCTTTCTCAATAATCGCCACTTCGTATGACAACACCAACGCGTCAAAGTCCCGCTTCACCACCGTCTCTCGCTGCAGCGCCCGCTCGTCTTTGCTACCCATGAACTTAAACGCGTTGATCGACGGACACCATCGCTTGAGCTCCTTCATCCAATTGCCGACCGTGCTTTTCGGCACAATAATGATATGAGGGTCCTTCAATCCCTCGTGCTTCTCTCAAGTACGCGAGCAACGAGATGCTCTGCAACGTCTTGCCTAGCCCCATTTCATCGGCCAAGATGCCATTCACGCCCGAGTCATGAAGACGAATCATCCAGTTGAGACCTTCGAGCTGATACCGGTTTCCATTGTGCCAAAGCAGTATACTCGACGGCTGCTGCGTGATACGCGTATACCGCGCATCGTCCATGTCCTGTAGCGCTTGTGCGTCTGCCTGTTTACTGCTTTTGCCACGTTTCGAGCCAGCGTCTTTGGCCGCTGCTTTCTTGCTGCGGGACATCTCTTTGCCGACAGCGCTGCTGCCGCCAAGAGGAACGACGTAAACACGTCGGACTGAGCCATGAGAAACGCCATTTTCTTCTCTCGCGCCGACTTGGCGCTCCACTCAACGTCCTGCGTCAGGTTCTGCTTGACGAGGTCCAGCGACTGAGCTGCCGACAGTCGCGCTGGTCATTACCCAAAAGCTGCTCTTCCTCTCGACGTAGCGCCTCGCGCTCGGCAGTCGACAAGAGCGGCGTCTTCGGCGCGTCGGGCGATCCACTCGACGCCTTCTTCTTGTGCAGCTGTTTGTCCGCTGTATCAGTTGGACTGTCCCCTGTACGCGCTCTGGTGGGCTCCCTCAAGCACGAAACAGCGGCATCGTTTACGTTCGTCGCGTCGTTCTGTGGACTGCCACGGGGAGAGGAGAGACGGCGCGGCGGGAGACGCGATGCTGCTGGCAATGGGACTCGCACTGCCGCACTGGGGCTCGAGCACGCGTGCTGCTGCTACTGCTGCGACTGCTGCTGGATCCGGCCATGGCCTTGGACGACGAGGGGTGCGTGGCCT